GGGCTCATTTTCTGCATCTAATCACGTATATTGAAACTTCAACTGTACATCTGTAACTCATAATTTCGCGGGCTAGTTCTATGCCCGACGTGGTGCCCGTGTCCTTGGGCCCCAAGATAAATCAACGCCTTCCTACAACATCCCTTTGTTCCAGACCATCCGGTGGCAGATATCTTAGTGTACAACAAAAGTTGACAACACGGCTCGACTCTGCTTTTTATCCCCGTGTATCGATTGCGCAAGCTGTCCGCTGGCGGCAACCTGCGTACCGATACTTGTTCATCAAGAACAGCGACAGATCCCAGCAATGTTCGACGGTAGGGAGTCATCCTACTAGATTCATCCTCCTCAGCTCTCAGCCTTCTTGGCGAATGCTGCGCCGTTTCCGTCCTTTTCCTTTTTTGCCAGCTTGTCTGACTTGCCTTCTGTATCCTTCTTGTCTGCTGCTGCGGCCTTCTTGTTTGTATCCGCTTGGTTGCTGTCGGCATCCTTGGGCGACTTGGCCTCCTTGCCCTCCTTGGCGACCTCCTTGGTGTCTTCCTTTGTGCCCTTCGTCTCTTTCTTCTTCTCTCCGACGACGAGGTTTTGCATATCAGTCTTGTCCTTCTCCCACTGGCTGCTGGCATCGCCGAACTGCTCTTTGACCTTCTTAGCCTTTTCGGCCTTTTCTTCTTCCTCTTTTTGGCTAGCAAGCCTCTCTTGTTCCATTTCCTGTATTGCGTTAGAATAGACTTCATGACGTTGCCATTGAGCAAGAGACGTACCTCCATGTGCTTGATGTCGTCAACACTAGGCTCGTAAAGATGCCAGATCGTGTAGTGCGGCAGACCGACAACAGAGTATTCCATGCGCTTCGCCATCTACACCGGAATGGTTAGTTCTCTTCTACATCCAGTAGCACAATCATCTTACCTTTCCGAATCCTTCCGTCTCAGCGTGCTTCTCGAAACTAAAAGCTGGGAAGTGTACTCCAGACCGGAAGACCTTGGCCTTGGCAAGAATACTGACGCCGCCCACTCCATCAATTTCCATCTCCATATCAGGGTCGCCATATGGGTCTCGCAGGTATGCCAAATGCGGCCGCCAAGTCGCATACTCGGCGTAACCTTCAACGATCACAGCATCTTCGTCCAGAGTGTCCGCGAGAGCTAGCGCCGTTTCTGATTCCTGCCATGAGTTGAGATCATACGGCTGCTCTCCACCAAGCCAATCGGGCAAAGGTCGCCAAACATCTGCGAACCGTTAGTGAGATACTCTCCCTCACCCCTTAGGGTTTCTCTGACTTACTTGGCACAATCACGTCCTTGTTGTGACGCATGAGATCTTCGAGGATGGTGAATGGGGCGGTTTCGACGTCAACGTCGCGCCAGTACACCCAGGAATGGTATGGCCGCAGGGCGGCACTGAGTAGCCAGTTACGGGCCTGGGCCATCAACTTCCTTCGGCTCGCCTGTGCCGCGAATCCGTGACGACTCTCCACATCCTGGTTGACCTTTTGTCCAAAATCCTTTTCGATGATGGAGATCTCGCCGTAAGGCTGTTTGGGGTCCTCATCGGCCTGAATCTCCTCTAGCATATCGTTGAGAACCTGTAGGGTGCGGTCCTTGGAGTCGGAGACCAGGAAGGCAAGGTCGATGAGGTGGTGGGGGTAGGTGAAGTTGCGCAGATGGGAGGCGAACATGGACAGATGTGACTCGGCGTCTCTCAGAGGGACACAGAGAAGAATGCGCTCCTCCCGCTCCCATCCTCTAGCAGTCCCCTGCACATTGCTGAGATCGTAGTATCGTACTGTTTCCAATTGCAAGTCGCTGCTGGCAGACAGCAGACCGAGGGAGAAGATGGAAGTCAGGGAGGCTCCCGGCCAGACGAAGACGAGAAAGAAGATGGCGACAACGGCGACAATGATGAGGCGAGTTACTAGACGCTGACGACGACGATTCGCGGGTGTTGAGGCTCGTGGTTGGTATCTGTTGAGAAGAGAATGACAGGTCAGCGAGGCGCGGCGCAAAGGATAGAAGCAATTAGCGAGGAGAGAACAAAGGTGTCTTCCTGACCTATGGGGGGAGATCTCGAACGTGTTCCCCCTTGGATATCCATTGGAGTAACCACTCGCATGATGCCGTGGCACCACCTTGGAGGCTGAGGAAGAATAAGAAGGCAACATCCAGGGCACTGGGTGGAAGTCGAATTCCCGGTCCCGAGGTGAGGGTGGAGAGTTGTACAGCAATGAAGCACCTCGCCCAGCCCTTGGGAGTCGTGAAGATTAAGCAGAGGAGAGCATCTAAAACCAGGGGGAGCGAGTGCTGTGATCGTTTGGCTAGCTGGAAAGTGCGGCTCGAGCAGCGAACGTGTCAAGTTGTCGAAAGGTATGAAGGCCGCGATCGCGATGGCGGATGACAATGCGTCTTGAGGAGGATAATATGGGTTGGGTCAGGTAGGTTAAGGGAGCGTCGACGGGATACCTGCGAATACGGGGTCTGGGACTGGGACTGGACCGGGACGCCAACTTTGGCTACGTATTATTTTATTTTCAGATTGCCTCTCTGTCATCCCAGGAATTGAATACCTAGGTACTTGGCGGCCCAGCCGTGACAGGGCACCTAGCCAGGTACCGGCACCCCTGCTTCGCGCCGTTTGGGAAGCATGCACAGTAAGGACAGCGTACTTTGAACGTGTCCATCTGCCAAAGGCAGGGTGGCAGGGCGGGAGGATGGGTACGCAGTGCACAGTCTGCCATGTAATTGGACGAATCTTGGCGCAAGAAGCCTCCCTGAGCTCCCACTAGTCTGGATTCCATTGCCTCAAGCTACGCGGGACCAAGGTACCGTGCCATTCGAGCTTCTGAATTCGCGACTATCTGGCCGTGCAATCGCCCGGGAGGTCTGTACATCTGCCTCCGTTAAAGCTTAACCTCCCTTCCATCCACGTTCGCTCCCAACGATAAGGCGGTATTCAGTGCTCTTCTAAGTCTTCTCTTAGGCACCCCCCTCCCCCCTTCAAATGCTTTCATGACACCGGCAAGCGTCAGTCATCCTCAAAAACTCCAACATCTGTCTGAAAACGTGAGCGTAGAGTCAGACTTGGTAGAGCTGACAGGAAGCAACCGATCAGAGAAATGGGAAACTTGGCTTATGGGCTTGTGGAAGACACTAGGGAGTATGGGCAAGATCACGACTAGGAAGAGATACGTCGTAAACCCCTTTAAACGCAGGTAGTAAGGTAAGTTCAGGCGCCTTACCGCAACACCCAAATTGAACAGGTAGGTCCCCTCGATGATGAAGTCTGGAGAGAGTACGCAACACAATACAAAGGTGTCGCGTTTCACTGTCAGACGTGAGGTATTCGGCATTCCCGAGGCCATCACACATAGACATTTTACCCACTCGCCCACATACTCCATCACACTGCGCTTGCGGTTGTGGGGAACATCAGGGAGGAGAGCGCGACTAGAGACCAACACTCCATGCCCCTCTGACATATTACTCATCTCCAACGCCTTACCACATTATCTCGACTGTATTAGCGGCAGGTGGATAAATTGCGCATGCGAGGCTACGCTTCACTGTAGGTATCATGAACGCAACGAAATAAAAGCGCTCTGAAGGATGTCACGAGGGATGAATATACCCACAGAATTCACATCACCGAGGCAAGGCAAGACGAGAAGGAATCCTAAACGTGGCCATCATTAGCAAAGTGAACCACACGTAAAGACTACTTGAGAAAGTATGATGATGGCATCAGGTCAGACGAGCCGGGTGTACTCATTCAGCCTAGCCGGCCTCGCAAACCCTGAACCTCAGAACGAGGAACCGAGAAGCTCAGCACTGAAGTCAAATGACGACTCCCGAGGGAGCCAACTCCACCACCTTCCTCGTCCCTCCGGAGAGGAACTCCAGTGCGGGAGGATGACTCGGCTGGCATGACATAGTTGAATGGATAAGCTGTGGTCATCATGATGTTGCGTGTGCCCCGGGTAGGAAGCCTGGGAAGCACGCGAGGGAAAACATTGCGAACAAAAAAATTCTTACCTGTGCTTGCGCGCTTGCCCACTATGTTGGTGGCGACAGCTCTTACGCTGAACAACCAAGATTGAATGCCTCCTGTGGGACTGTTCCTGTTAGCTATTTGACTCGAATGATCAAACAGTAGCAAAGGAGGAAGATAGACGTCGTGTCAGACAAAGTTTTTGGTATATGGGTTATCATCACAGAGTTCAGTAGCAGAACTGAATGATATGGTTGTTCATCATAGTCGACGATGTGCAGGTGCTGCAAAAAGAAGGACGGAAAAAAAGCGAAGTTGACATACCCAAAGAAAGTGTAGACAGGAAGTTCTGACGATGAGATATTCACCTGGTTTATTAACCTTGAACCATAGTTAGTGATGTTCTCTTTTCTGGTCTCTAGAGAATGTGCTGAAGGTCCATAGTGGCGTGGGATCAGATGGTGATGCATGTTTGTTCTTGCGCTCAGGAGATCGCGGGAACGGTGTGTAAGATATACATCATGAAAGTGGACAATGGGCGCGAATGAGGCTGCAAAAAACTTACCGAGTAAATTGCTCTCGAAGCTGACCATGCGAAAGCAGCCCATTTTGACTGCCGAAGCACTGATATTTTCGCGCTTGCGAAGGATGGTTGTTGAAGTTGATGGAGGAAAGGAGTGTGGTGAAAAATTTCGACTTCAAGTATCGAGCCTTATATGGCATAATGGGATGTCTCCACTTACCTTTGTGGACCCCGCGCCGGCGCGCAGATGCATCTAAGCGGGTATGGTGGCCGTACCACAGTGGTCGGTAACGACCTGGAAAATTCACCTCAGGCCTCATCTCGAGCAGCTAAGAAAGGCTCTCAACCCAGGCAAACGACGTCAGGTATTCATCAACTCTACACATATTGCGGGAAGTCACACTCTACCAGACTAATACTGCCAACCAACAAACCGAACAAACCACCTTCCTCGCTATTGGGAATAAAAAAAAACAGAGTCTCCATCAAGATGGCTGATCGACGGAGAATTAATGGACCGCCTGGTACAACGTTACCGCCCGTTTATGAGACTACGGATCCGATTGCGACCACCAGGGAAAGGCTGGCAAACGGAATTCGAGGATTGTGTTAGTTGACATTTGCTTTCCCCTTGGAATTTGATCATGCTAATAGTGAGAAGTTCTCAAGACTGGCGTCACTCCCACAGCTTCAGGCTCAGCATACATGGAGATTGAGCCACCACTCGGCCAGATCAAATCTCAGGCCGCTTCTCAGTCAAAGACCAATGGCATGAAGCTCATCTGCACTGTCCATGGGCCTCGTTCGCTTCCTCGATCCGCACCCTTCTCGCCCTACCTGGTGCTCTCAACTCATGTCAAATACGCTCCTTTCGCCACACGTCGACGTCGAGGCTACCTTCGTGACTCGAGTGAGAGAGATCTCAGCGTTCATCTCGATACGGCCCTACGCGGAGTCATTATTGCGGATAGATGGCCAAAAAGTGGCGTCGACGTGATTGTTACCATTATTGAAGGCGACCAAGAGCGAGAGGCGTCTCACTCCCAAGGCAACGAAGAGTGGGATATGATGAACGTTCTCAGTGGTTGCATCACCGTTGCCGCGGCGGCTCTCGCTGACGCTGGTATCGATTGCGTCGACATGGTCACCGGCGGTGTTGCAGCTCTTGTCTCTTCAAACGAACAAGACACTACAGACGCAGACGCACTGTCTATTGTCTTGGATCCCGTTTCTCTGGAGCACGACAAAATACTTGCCGCTTGCTGTGTGGCTTACCTCCCTTGTCGCGCGGAGATCACCAACCTTTGGGTGAAGGGTCAGCTCTCGCCGTTGGACCCCTTGCTCCATACGAAACTCATGGGTCGCGCTATTCAAGCTTCCAAGGGCAACTACCGCGCCGTTCTCGAGAGACTCGAAAGCAACCAACCACCCAGCAGTTAATCGATTAGACCATGGCAAATTACCTAGTGGAGGTTTGCAGCCCGGGTTCGAGAACACGGCGTTGATTTGTCGCGCCTTCGAAAAGAAGCCACAACTGAGCATGGCTTTCATGGTGACTCTGAGCGTCGAAAACTGAAGCATGCGTTGTCATGCATCAGCTCGGCATATTTTATCGGGTGATTCGCACTCGAGTGATCACGAAGGAGGATGAAGATCTTGGCAGACTGGCAGGTGAAAGCAAGACCACCTCGGGGAGCCCATGCAGAATTGTCAGATTAATGACGGTCGCCGAGCCCTCTACACATAGCCATACTCGTGACCGGTGCTCACAATACGGACTACGTCGAGAACAGGCGTTGCGGCCAAATCGACAAAAGATACCAGCTCCATGTATGAAGAAACATTGAGAGCTTGATTCGATAGATGAGGGGTGACAGATATGTTTAGCAAGAACTGGTGAAGTCTGTTCATTCGATGGTAGACTGGGAGGCAATAGAACTTCCCTCATCGCGATATGCCTGCTGAGAAATGAGCAAGTGAGCTGTAAATGCAGTACAGATTATCCCGAAAAGGTTTGCTTATGGCCGTTGCCTGTTCTTGTTCCAGCTCACTTCAAAGTGACCGCCTTGCTTTGTATTGAGACATCTATCCGCCTGGCAAGGAAAGGACATCATAGCGGTACTCCCTAGAAGTTTACTCCGTATAGACCTTCCAGGTTGTTGATGATACCTTCAAGGTTGAGCATGGATGCTTGTCAGGTACCCACTTTACCCCAACCTCGGCGGCGCAGTCGTCGCTCTGAGGAAGTCCTTAGCTCGTCTCTCGTAAGCACTCGGGCCCCGGCTTCCAGCTCCTCGGTGCTCTGGGCTCGCTATTGTCCGTCAGAGAACGGCGCTAAGGAGTGGAGAGACCTGGAGCGATCAGTGAGCTTCGCGGGCATGCGACAACATCCCTCCATCCCATCCGAGCTTCCGTCCTTATCCATCTCTACACCCCCACCGTCCTTGCCCTCTTGACGAGCCATCTTTGATCGACCTTGGGCCCCGATCGTCCGCGAGATACCATCGACGACCACCTGCCTAGTCGACGACCGTTCCTGACATTGGCCGTCCTCAGCTACCTTATTGGAGACCCGGTCAGCCGAACACCTCCTCGTGCCTGCTGTCCGCATAATGTTCTCCCGCATTCGACGTCACTGCCTATGATCCGAACCGCGACACTCCCAGCCGCCCCGAGCGATAAGGCTGCTGCCGCTGCCTTTGTATAATCTGGCCTGAATACCAACCCTTTCCTGGTGACCATGGACAATCTGCATCCACCTCCTACTCTGGAAAATACAGGGGTGTGGCAGAACCTCTCGCTGTGGACGGCCCACCAGGTTCAATACGCCGTAAACATCACCAAGCTGGCTCCTTCCTTCGAAGACCTGGTATGGGCTGGCCCGAGGATGGTGCGAAAGCTCACGGCCTATCTTCCCATTCCCGACTCCCTCGAGAGAGTCATTCCAGAAGCAACGGGACCCGGCATCTTACGTACTACCGACGCGGCTACGACCGCTGCCTTCGATATGAATATACCTCCTCCCATAGGCCATCTTCCCGGAACTGGGCCTGCTATTCCGGTTGATCCAGATGCTGTCTTGGCCTCTCCAAAGTTCACCATGGAGGGCGCAAGAGGGCTAGGTAGTGTCTTCAGCTATGCGACAAGCAAGTGGGCGCTTTGCTGTATCGCCATGGCAATCGTCCTCAACCGCACGCACATCTTCGCAGCTACTCGGCGACGCTTGCGACTCACTCTGCCAATTCGACTGGCCTTGCGTGGCCTTCCCGTTCTTCTATTTTTGGTACAAGCGCGCGGCCTACTGCGGTCAATCCAGTGCCAAACATCTCCTGACTTTGCCGAAATGCGCTGGGGAAACACAAGCAAGAGCTCCGAGCTCATGTTCTCACAAGCCGGCGGTCTCCTCCATACCATGAGTTCGGCACTGTTGTTGGGGGCTTCAGACGAAGCGTCCTGCGTAGCTGTAGGTATGATTCCGACAGATACCAATGACGCGACGCAGGACATGAGGGGATCTCTGTCTCTGTTGTGGCCGCTATTCGGAACGTTTTGTTTGAGTCAATTCCTGGAGACCGTATCGTGTGCTGTGCAGGGCCGACCCTTAGCTGCCGAGACGGGCATGACACTTTTCGAACACTCCCTTGCCTTTGCCGAGGCGGATGCTGCTATTAGCAACCAACTTGGCTGGGGCTTGTTTACCCAATCTCAAGTGGCAGATGCTGCTTCGACGAGCGCCAGCAGCATAGCCATCAGTCGCTCCATGATTCTCAGAAGGGTTAACACCTCACCCGAGGTTCTACTTGTTGCCTTTTTTTCAACCATGAGCCATATTACCAGCCATTTGCTAGGCATCTTCAACCTGCAAGCCAAATTCCGACTCGTCAGCACCGGATTCTGGGGCCTATGCTTCATGGCAAGCATTCTTTGGAGTGCTTTCACGTTCTCTTTGGATGATCCTGCGAAGCAAGGCCTGCTCAGATTTCCGACAGTCTGCATCATCGGCTTCATCCCTCATGTTCTTGTGCTAGGCGGCATTCTGGTCTGTTTCTTCATCTACCTGCTCGCTCTCGGTCTGGCGGCTCTCACGCCAATAGAGGGTCAATCGGGACAGAGGCTGAGCCTTCGCGAGCGGCTGGCACAAGCCCACGCCAACATGCAAGCCAACCTCTCTCTATCCGACATTCGGATCACTATGGAAATGGACTTTTACACCGCTTTGCTTCGGACCGGCTTTGGGGCTATTACCATGGCAAGCGAAGCCGTCTACCTAAACGAAGACAGAGACGTCACAATGAGACCGCACACGTGGCTTGAGGAAGAGAGGTACCGCGAGCTTGAAGAATTACGAAACCAGTGGATTGGAGCCGGCGCTCCTGACTCTCACTATGATGCTATTGGCACGATTGGTCTAGTGCCGGTCAGGGACGACCACATGTTGTCAAAGAATGGATACGCCCGCGAACGCGCGGCTCAAAAGGTGCCCAAATCACGGTCTGGGGAGCGAAGATTACGGGACGGCGTTGGCGCTGCGGAGCGGAGTGGCCGATGGTTGATGGCATTGGACTTCATCATGAACATCAACAGACTGATCTTCCGGACGTGGGCTACCACTATGCTGAAAATACTTTCCAAGATTGGCTTACGGCACCCGAAACTCCTCCTCTGGATCGTTCGCCGGCCCAAGGCTGCCACCGACTTGAGGAACTCGAATGCCAAGGATAGTGCCGGCCGTTCTCAAGCACCTGCAGGCCCCGCCGAGTCACCCATGAACATTCCACTGACCGACAGCGTTGATGTCGAATCCGAGTTCCGACAGCAAGTATGGAGGGGAAACCAGAACTGGGCTCCCATGGACGAGGCCGACCTCGATTCGAAGCTGTACGGCTGGTGGCTGAAGGGTGGATGGTGGGGTTCGGCAGATAACAGCGGAGAGTATCAACCGTTGGCAGCAAATGATGATGATGATACGACGAGCGTCGTTTCTTTCAGCACGAACGGCGACAGCGATTGGGAGTCGGAAGACGCTGGGCAGAGAACACCCACGCAGTCTAGGTCATGGGCTTCGCGCGAGCACACACCGGTCCTGGAGGATTCACTACAGCTGTCAGATCTGGCACGCCTGCTACACCCTAGCAACCCCGAAGAGAGGGAAGAGGCGCATGCGTTGGCCGCGCATTTGAGTAGTGACAGAATCGTGACACGATCTCAGTATCTCAGGTCACGGCAGCTACAGCGAACTCGGATACTGCAGCCAAACGGGCAGCCAAATCGTGTCACGACGCGGCCGGTCAAGATGACACCAGACGAGGAGGTTCAACGCTTGGAGCAGCTGCTGCTGTCCCGGCGCTCCCAGTTCTCGACTTCCGTGGATCGCGGGACATCGACATGGGCAGAAGGGGCGGCTGGTCTGGGTCCGGATGGTCCGCAGTGTGTTGTCTGCCAGAGTTCTCCCCGGACCATCATAGTCTGGCCCTGCCGGTGCTTGAGTCTTTGCGACGACTGCCGAGTGTCACTTGCTATGAACAACTTTGACAAATGTGTGTGCTGTCGTCGGGAGGTCATCAGCTTCAGCAGGATCTACGTGCCCTAGGGTTAAGTTGATAATGGCAGGGCGTCTACGAAGAAGCACGTTTGTACTTGCTAAAATGGGATATCAGAACATTGGGAAATTTTCGGCGTTTGGGGGCGGTTTGTAGCATAGTCATTTCATTGAGGTACACGGAATAGGGGTATCTTGTTGGTATTACATAGGTTAGTTATCTAGGCTTAGCGCTGAGCGTCACGTTCATTCAGGCGTGTGGCCCAAATTCCAGCTCACATTCCTGCCCATTCAACGCAAAATGCGCGCACATGCTTCGTACCACCGTTGACGTCGGGAACCTCTCCGCCAAACAAAAAGCCCTTCTTCACTGAAGTTCCCAGACGGCCACTGCCGACGATGTCAAGCATCGGTATCTTCTCATCCCAATCGTAGTTTGTAGCGAGGAAATGGGCGTGATACCGCAATGGATCACCCGGGTATACACTGTAATCAGCGCCAAAACGTAGACCAGGAGTCATGAAGTATCCTCTAGACTGCAAGTGTTGGTGCAACGGCCCGGCGAGAGGTTGAGGCACTGTTTCCTCAACTTCGCCTAAAGGCACGAGACCTTCGCTGGTTGTCGGCGTGACTGCCACGGACGGCTTGGCATCCACGCCATCACGGGGTTTGGAGCTCTTGTCTGGCACGGCACTTCCAAACAGAGAATCATCCACCTCGGAACCAGGTTTTGGCTGGGCCGCGGCCGACTTGGCGCCCTTGTTCCTCCGCGTCTGTTCCGTAGCTGCCTTCTTGGCCTGATCCTCTGCCAGCAGCTTCTGCGCCTTGCTTCGACGTTCTTTCAGTAGTGCAATGTAGGCCTGGCGGGTGGCCTTGTCCGGAGAGCGTAGGGACGACAGGTGATGCGAAGCCTCTTCGACGAGGCGGCCTACCTTGTTCTCGATGAGCACGCTGGCCTCCTCGGGTAGCAACTCCAGCGGCAGACTGAGAAACACGTTTTGTGTTGGGTTCTGCGGGGTCGTTCCCACCAGAACGGAGCAGATGTTGTGGCTGCGCCTAATTGTGGCCACATCTTCAGCGTCGAAGACGAGGTAGCGATCTGCGATCTTGGAGATGCGCACGGGAGGGACCGAAGGGTCTTCCAATGCTGCTGCCATTGTTCTTGCCTCGGACCTTTTTGGGTCGACCTTGCTGTCCTTGTGTCTGAGAGAAGAATGTTAGCTACTGCTGGAAGAGCTTGCATGCAAAAAGCTAGTAACAGTGCTGAAAGCCACATAATCATATCTCGTTAAAATGATAGTTTCGTCACAGAGTGTCAGTGGATTGACAGATTGATTGAGATTGGGTTGTTTAATCATTGAGCTTTGGGAGGTGTTGAAAAATGGTAGGAAATTCATAAGACTTACCCTGATGCGTGGTTGTCGGAGGCAAGAAGGAAGCATGGTTGGAAAAATTCGTAGGATTGAGGTTTATGGAGCTGGCAGTGGTGGAGACGGGCGGTGAGGCAGAACCCCTCTGACTCTTACGGTGGTGCTGGAGGTGTTTTGTATGCTCCGTAAGATAGCGTGGCGCTGTGGCTGTGCGTTTGTACTCTTCAACGTCGAGAAGGCTAGGATTTATACCTGCCTTTCGACTTGCAAGTTACCGTTTCGCAATTCAAACAATTTGACTGTTGACTAGATACCTCTGCCATATAATCCCACTGTTTCGACACTTTGGTCCAGAGAGAAACTACGAGTTCGAGGATCAAGCCCTTGAGGTACGGGTAGGGCGAACCTTCGTAGTATATCAGGACATTCACTGATAGGCTTGGGGACGCTGGATCATGGGTAGGTTGAAACAGCCTCATATTATTATAAGCTCAACTCAATCAGTCATTCATTCCATCGAATACTCAAAAGTCTAGCTTCTCCCCCTTCTTCCCCTCTGCCTTGGCTCCTTGGCCCCCATCCCCTTCATCCAACAAAGGCGGGAGAACGTAAGGCTTCACAATGAGCCCACTTGAGCTGCTCATTCTGAAGGAAAGGTCTTCCCGCGAAGACTGGCCCTCTATACCTCCTCCCCTCTCGTGGTAAACAGGGAGGCTATGCACCTTGAGCATACCTTGCACGACGTCTTCGGACTTGGTATTGGGCTCGATGTGCACTTTTCTCGGGAGGGGCAGCATTTCCAGCACTCCATCGCACAAAAGCTCCATCCATCGTGTAAATCCCGTCGATCGCGGGAATAACGAGGTAGACAGCGAGATCATAGCCGTCAGAATCCCTTCGTGCTGGCGCAGCAGTGCTCTCAGTTTGTGCAAGAATTGCAGGGCATCCGCCGGACGGCAGAGTGAGGAACCATAGAGTGCGGGCGACAGAAGGCTCGGCACTACGATACGATGGATAGCACCGGGCGGTGATGCCTTCAGCTTTGCTGAGACGTTGCTGATAAATGTGTCTAGAGGGGAAGAGCTGCCTGAACCCGATGGGTGGAGCCAGCTCATGGCAGCAGTCGATGGGGTCGCATGCAGTTCGCCCTTGATGTCACCAGGCTGTAGACGTTTCCCGAGGTCAAAAGAGTGACAGAAAACTTCGGCAGCCCCTGCTAGGCCGTTGTTGTTCGTCCCTAGAAGATTGTTCATCTTAGGTCAGTGTCCGTGGCCATTCCATGTTCCATGTGGTTCGGGAGAAACGTACTTGGTCCGGCATTGTTGCCAAGGCTCTCATATCTCCACGCTATTTTCATCTTCTCGTCTGATGCTGACGCCGATTTCTTCTTACTTGAGCCACTGGCTTTGCCAAGTCCTGGAAGCTCTCCTCTCCACGCGTCCGTTGGGCCAAGCACGTGTACTTGTTGGCCCTGCACGAGACCTTCGGCGGCATAGTATCTGAGAAGTACGCCCGAGAAGTCTGTCGTTCCAGACTCCTCTACAAGAATACTGTAGCCAAGCGGTAGCCCTGCGTGTCCTGCCAGGAGTTGGTCTAGTGATGCCGTTCCGGTGGAGGTTGTAGGACGGCCGTCAAGGGGTGATGAACGAGTCCCAGCCGGTGGTAGAGCTTCCTGCTTCGGAGCCATGGACTCTCTCACAGGACCTCTGGTGGATGGCCCCAGGACGACGTTCTTTTTCCTGAACGACATGGTGCCAGGTGTGCTTGAGACACTGAGTTACAAGTTCGCGACTAATACTGCTCGAAAATATGCAGTACCGGGCAGATTCTTGACTTGGAAGCAGCTGGGTTGTGGCACCTACCGTTGTGTTAGAAAAATGTTGCCCAAATAAATTACATAAAATTCTCATGAAAGTGGAAGTGATTCCGATTTTGACTCACTGGCAGTGTGTATAAGACAACAATCCAGAGGCCGCTTCTGATACTGCACTACTGGGATAAATTACTCACCAGTACTTCAGCGAAAATGAAACTATATGCACTCAGATACCTGACCTGGATATAGTTGAGAGCGCCGTGGAAGTGCTGGTACGTGAAGAAAGTAACCAGTAACTTAATTACATCAGATACAGGTTCAGTCCCCTCCACTGAAGAGGGCAGGTGGGGGTTGGTTGTTGCATTCACTTAGGTACCTTACCTTACAAAAATTTAAGCCCCACTGGTCGCAGTCAGGTACCTAATTATGCTTCCCAACCCGACGCGCCCCTCGTCCGATTGCACACTACACCGGTTAACTCAATCACTCTTCGATTTTTATTTTTTTTACCTTTCCGGCCGGAGCTTCACACACCACATCTCGAAAGTCACTTGCCGTCGCTCACGATCCTCAAGCCTTTGCGCCTCCGAACGAAAGACCTTGTTATCTTCCTCGCAACAACCGACGACAATACCGCGAATTACTCGTACCATTCACCTCGGAGAAGCACACCAAATTATACAGCAATTATGTCTGGCAGCGGCGATGTTACCCTCTTCGAGGAGTCCTTCACGGTCACCAACTACGACCAGTCCAAGTACGACAGAGTCGCCCGTATCTCGGCCACCTCGACCGACAACCAGACGCTCATGACCCTCGACATCAACATTGAGCTATTCTCTGCCTCCGTTTCCGACAGCCTGCACGTGGTTCTGGCGACTTCTCTGGCCCACGATGGCAGCAAGGACGACGAGAAGGGATGGCGGGACGTGACCAAGGGCACCCAGGACCGTGAGCCGTCATTGGCTGATATGTTCGATTACGTCTGCTACGGCAAGATCTACAAATTCGAGGACGCCGACGATGGTCAAACTATGTTCGTGTTCCCGCATTGAATCGAGTGCGCCGCGCAGAAGCTGACCGTGCTGCAATTATAGCAAGGCCTACGTCTCATTCGGAGGCCTGTTGATGTCCCTCGAAGGCCCCTACAAGAAGCTGACCCCGCTGAGAGTCGACTACGTCTACCTGCTTATCAAGAAATGATTGAAAAGATACTGGAACTTTTCGCAATGGGATTTCCAACGCTTACTCTCTCTATTCTGGCGCGCATAAAAGTGAGGTACTACAAAAGGCTGTACAGAAGTTGTATGGCCCTATACAGCAAGAGCATGGGCACCGGAGTTAAAGGCGTCAGGAAAAATATTTGAAAGAGCAAGCCAGGTTGTTCGTGATATTCCCCGGATCTCGGAACTTTAGTCCTGGCTCAAGCATCCATAGCCCCTAGAGACGGGTCCTGGTTATGCGGCCCAGGAAACGGCATTCGTCGATGGATTCTTTGCGCAATCTGATCGTACTCGGGCTCGTTCTCTTTAGTCAAGATACCCCGGCGGATAAAAAAGTCGAGAGCCACCAGCGCGCAATTTGGCTTCCATACGCCTTGTGCGAGTCCTTCGCGGACCTGCTCGACCGTGCACAGGCTGAACTCGGCGACTTCGCCGTCCTTTGGCTGCGGCACAACGTCTGCGGGTAGTTCGAGATCATAAATCCATTGAACCTCGGGATAAATCAGCCCTTCCTCGCCCGCCTCTGCCTCGGTGATGTAAATGTACGTGACGCCGCCAATAAACTTGGTCTGATGGCGAACAATCTCTTCCGGCAGGCTGGCTTCCTCGTCTGCCTCACGGATGACACACTCAAAGGGGTCTTCCCCCGTCATAAGTCCGCCGGCAACGGTATTGTCCAGCATGCCGGGGAAGGTTGACTTGGTCGGAGAGCGACGCGGAACCCAGATCTTGATACCGTGGCTCGCTGACGGGTCACGCACAAAGGCCGTCAAGTGAACGCCGTATCGCATGACACCGAACAATCCTGAGGCGGCCCTCTCAATGTCGAAAAGGAGTTCGCCATTGCGGCCGTACACGGGCCACAGCTCGTCGCGCCAACCCCGGAGGATGGGGAAGGTGTCGTTGGCTCTCCAGTACTCAGAGAGGTCCGCCGCCAGCTTGCTGCGGCTTTCTAACGTTGGCCCTTGGAAGGCTCTGAGAGTGCGCTTCTCCGAGTCGACTTGGACTTCCCCTTTGATGCTTTCGGGTACCTTGAGCAGCTCGTCGACCACCCTTGGCAGGACGTATCCGAGAGGTACATCGCCCTGCTCGTCTTTGAAAATGAGAGTGTACACTGAGCCAAACGTCTCAGCATTGGGGGTGTTGACTTGGGGCTGCCTGTACGGATATCTGCATCCTGGGTCAGCTGCGGGGGCTCGGCCTCGGGGTACAATATGCTCAGTGTCAGTGTTTCTCACGAGTCGACCTGGTCGATGAGATCAATGTTGGTGAAGGTCTTCATCTTGTCAGAGTATGTTCTCTTGGTCGTCTTGAGAAGCAACTGGGTGAAAATCCGGCCGAGGTTCAATGACGATCGTAGCATGTGTTGTTGTGTGCTCTGAAAGATGCGAGGAAGGCGTGGTCTAGAATAAGGTGCAGCCGGATCTCGAAACGACGTCGAGATGCATATAAGTCTGACCCCGATGCCGGAAGTGACGTGTGTCCAGCAATAAGAACCGGCATCAAAATCTTGGACCCCTCGAGTCGGACTTCGCAACGGCAAGTACAGAGTAAGGGTATATCCGTCAACCGGGTAGCGGATCCGATACAAGCATATGATTGGCTAGTGTTATCGAGGCTTCTTCCATCGTCTCGAGGCTTCCTCCACGACCTAATGCAGCTGCCCCTCCCCCCACCTTGGAGTTCGACAATAATTGTACTTGACCCGGTGCTGCTCACCTCATCGCCAACCTCATTCTCTCGCAAAGTCCTCAAGCACTGAAGCCTAGAACTTCGTCTCCCTCCGAGAAGCTCCCGTTTTTGTATAAGTACGCTGGTAATCATCTCTTTGATATACAGCCAACAAGCTAAGCTACTTGCTTCAAAGCTTCAAAGCGATTTCTCACCCTCTTCAACCAGATTTTCCGAGTCGTTCACGGGACGCTATCAAACGGCCTTCCACATCATCCAAGTCATCATTGCGTCCACCGCCATGTCCGGCCCACTCTTCGGCATCGTCCCGGCCGGCCAGCCCCTGCTGACGGACCCAACATCGGCGCCCTCGGAAACCTCCTTCCTCTATTCCATCTCCGCTGCTAGACCCTTCTCCCACATCACAGTCATGCTCCTCCCAGGCATCGTCCTGCCCCCCGACACCGCAGCCGCAATCTACTTTGCCACGGCCGCCGATGTCGCCGCCGCCACCGCAACGGGCCAGACGCCAAACTTCAAGTTCCTCGGCGGCATCGGCAGCGGCAAAGAAAGCGCAACCTTTAAACTCAACGCCGGCAGCAATGCCAACAACGGCGGTGACCCCAGCGTCATGATTGGCGTCTCGGTCGAGCCCGCCGAGTCCGTCTTCTCCCGCATCCAAGAGATCTCCGCCAACAAGGCCTCCTCCTCCTCCTCCAACGCTTCCTCCCAGCCGTCCACGCAGCTTCTGGCGCAGAACATAATCAAAAACGCCTTCAACTTCCTCGCGAGCTTCAGCGGCACGGCCGGGCCGGGAGGTGTCGAAGTCGTCCCGCTTAAGGCATTTGAAGAGTGGTGGAAAAAGTTTGAAAGTCGCGTGCGGTCCGATCCGAGCTTCCTCGAAAGACCGCAAGACTAAGGATGCCCACCGCCATTTGCTCACATGTTCCTCTTTACCTAGTACATAGCACTTTTAATCTGATACCCGAATAGATGATTTCATTGAATTCATGTTCAAGACACGTAGACAAACGCGGTCTAGTCTTCATTGTCATCTGTATGAAAAATTGGGCTGGAAAGGACTGGCGATTCGGCGTTGTACAACACCCAACGCAGAAGAGGAACAAACAAATCTGCGACAGCTCAATGCCATGCAATGCCTCCCAAAAGAAAAAAACAATCTCTCGTCTAAAGCGGCCCGGTGACACTTCCCGTGTGATGAAACGCCGTTAACTGCCTCCATTCCGAAAAGCCCAGAGGGGCCTTGATGCTGGGCCAATCCATCATGCCTGATAAACGCCGTCTCCAGAAGAATGAACAAGAAGAATTAAAAAAACACCCAGGTAATATCCCCATCCAGTCGCTAGCAGGCATACATAATCTTACACTGCGTATAGCAGGCATCTCTGTTACTTAATCCTCATCCAAGGGCTTCATAAGCGGACTCTTCAGTCGTGTCGGACTACCAGCGCGACTGCGACGTCCCGCATTCACCAGACTTGGTACCAGCCTCTCCCTGCTCTCCGTTCTCACTGCCAAACCACCGCGGTCCATCGAAAAGGTTGGTCGAGCGTCGTCGAATCGCTCAATGTTGAGTTTCGGGGTGGCAAGGCCGGAAGAATGACCTGCTCTGGAGCCCTCGCTGCTGTCAGAGTGCTCGTTCTCATCAGAGTCGACGGAGCCTAGCTCGAACTGATCGGCATCGCCCTCTTCAAGAACTCGTTCGTAGGTTGCCGATGACCGTCCGAAAAGCTTGTTGGTGAATGAAAAGCCCCGCCCGAACTTGCGAGGACTGCCCGGACGTCTCGTTCCACGAACGGCAGACGCAACCTTGCCGAACCATCGTGCTCGGCGGTCTCGCTTGCGCAGGAAAAAGGCTAAGACAACCAGAACCAGGATGAAAGCCAGGAGACCAGATCCAGATTTCGTCTTCGCCTTGTCCAGGAGCTCATCAGCATCCCAATCGTCGTCGTCATCGTTATCTCCGATCGTTATAGGGGAAAACTTGGATCCCGCGGGCTCAAAGTCGGTCGCGCCGGCAACGTTGCTTCCAAAGCCAACCGGCTGGGCACTTCCTGAGGGGGGAACTTGACCGGCGGCATACAGCACCATCTTACCCAGGGTCCAGCTGACTTCGACGCCATCGATTTCGTTGACTGGCTGGAAGGGATCGACGAACCCTTTTTCCTTGGCTTCCTCCAGGGTACCCTTCGTGACGTTGAGACCGGGTTGCGGCGTATGTTCAAGTCCTGGTCGCGGGATGCCGATTCCTTCGTAAAGGACATTGATGAGCCAGGACGCCTTGAAGCAGGCTTCCTGGGCATTCTTTGCTTTCTGGGCAGAAGACTTCTTTCGCGCATCAATCTTGGATTCGATATCCACCCAATTCTGTGTGCAAAAGTCCACCACGTTCTTCTGGTATGTTGCCAAGTCGTATGCCGTCTTGTGACCCTTTCCAAATACTCCGTGGGTCGTGTGCCAAAACTCCGAGACACCGACAAAGTGATTCACGTCGAAATCGATGTTTGGTACGTGCTGGCCGTTGAGGAGGCAAGGCTCATCTGTACACGGAGTGTCTTTTCCAAGTAGAGGCTCGGTTTGGCGCAGGCATTCGTCGAATCGACCGGTGCCGAGTAGGGAGAGTTCCTTGCCCACAGACTCAGCCTCGACAGGGTCGCCTTTGACGTCTGTTCGCAAGCCCGCAGGGAGGCACGGATCCGGTAGCTCGAGGTCGTTGGGCTTGCCGTACTGTTCTTTGAGCTTGTCGATATAACGCTCGCGGGCCTGGTTCGCGCCGTAGCCAAGCCAGGTGGCGGTGAAGACCCTGTGCTCAATGGTGCTGCCGTCCAGGGTGCGCAAGCGAACAAGCTTTAGATCGTCGGCATGCCTCTCAGCTTCTGTGCTGTTTGGCGCGAACGCAATCTGCGCCGAGGCACCTCCCATGTCCAGAAAGCCGTATGTGTGGTGGCCTTTACCGTGCGTGTGCTTGTCGGGGTGGTCGAAACCGCCAAGCAGATAGTTTGTAGCGAGCCAGCCGTACAGACCCTCAGTCTCCCCAGAGATTACCTGGATGTTGGTATTGCAGTCGGGTAGCGAGAATCGCGTGTTTTGTTGTAGGTAGGAGCACATGTTGCGGAGGAGAGCCTTTTGTTGGTGGTCGGGAAGGAGACGCATGCCGGCCGTAGCCATGAGGTAGACGGGCGTGTCGGCAACCTTCTTGTCGGGAACCTCCTTTAGGGCCAAGTTGATGAGGGATTCCAGGTGTCCGTGACCGATCTCTTCTGGCTTCTCGGCAAAGGAGGACACGCCAGGGCGAATCTTTTCGCTCGTCTGCAGCTTGATCTTGGGCAAACTATGAAGCTCTTCCACAGTGGCATGCTTTATGGCTTTGGCGTGATCCTTCCATTTGTAAACGTATAAGCGTGTGCCCGAGGAACCAGCATCAAAGATGATTCCATATCGCCCTATTCAGTGAACACTTGAGTCAGCTGGTTGCACAGTATAATGTCAAACGCGATGTTTTCTATGAGCGTACATTTTTTCCCCATGAGGAGCAGCTGGCGCAGTCAAGCTGCGGGTTATTTGCGGCAGGTTTGGCGTGGGTAGGTTGCAGAAGGCAGAAGGCGAGGCGGGATTATAGCATGGGCGAAGGGAACCCGGCTGATGACAGAGGAGTCGTTATCGAGGTCGAGTAAGCGTGGTGGTACGGCGCCTTGAGACTCGTTCGTTTGATCGATTTGAGTCGGTTGTTTGTTCTTTCGAGATTTGCTCCCTTGGTGGTCAAGGTCGAGGGATTTCGAAAACGCCTACAACAAGACCAGTCGCAATCGAGGATCGTCGTGTTTCGCGGCGATGTGGGCAGAGTTCGCGTAGAGGACGATAGGTGTTGGCAACGGAATGGGTTAGTTGAAAAACAATTGGGTAGTCGTAAAGGCAGGGCGCAGCGGCAGAAAACTGATTTCAAGAGAGTTTTGTCGTTTAAGATTGATTCAAGCGAGCGTCGGTCATCCTGGAGATTGGACAGGAGAGATTGGAGAATGAAGGTTGGCAATTGATTGCTCGATTGATTACTGGCGTCAGGGGAATAAACGGCCAAGGCAAATGGAAGGGACGGGGAGAGAAAAGAAGTCTGGAGACGTGGTTCTAGGACTCGGGGGTGGGACTCTGGAGTGGAGGGAGCTGATGGAGACGCAGACGCACTCGCGGTAGGTGAGTGGGTGAACAGACATACGCAGTAGGCAAACGGAGACGACGACGGGAGACGGAGACAGGGGGTGTGGCTCGTGTTGGGGCCTGGGCTGGCACGCCTTGGTATAAGTTGGTCCCTCTGGGAATGGGATTACTGAGGTGACAGGGTGGCAGAATGACGGGACAGGGTTGCATTCAGCCAGAGATTACGCATCCACGCACACTGTAAAGGTAGGTGGTTTCTGTTATCTCATGTCTTATCAGCGAGAAAAACATGGATAGCCAATGGAAGCTGGAGGCTAGAGCAGGTCTCCGCACTGTGTCGGGCACTTGCTTAAGTACCTTACCTACCTTGGAGGATTAGCCAAGCACCCAAGGTGCCTCAGTGCCTGCAGGCAGCATACAGACTGAGACTACAGAATAGTGGCTGGCTACCCTTTTCAACACTAGTCCTAAAGGTGAGGTGACGGGAGTTGAAAGATGGCAAACCGTCTGGCTGTGTGTCTGCGCCGGTCTTGACTTCAAACGAGGGAGTGCGTAACCGTCTGATTGTTGGTCATGATTGGTGCCCTCGGGGGAACGTGCCTTTTCCCCTCGACTGCCGGATACTTTAGGTACTGTCGCCCAGGGCTACACTGTACCTGCCGTGACAGCACCCAATGGAAGGTTGGACGGAAATGCTCTCGGGGGTTTCTGCATCTCGATGTACGGATACTTGCGCTGAAATCACGGTGCCAACTGCCAAGGTACCTTATCTTGTGTGTCCTCCCTTGATCATCGCCCAGAGCTGTTATGCAGCATTGCAGATACACTAGAGGTTTCTCACTGATAGGGACCATCAACCCGCGGGCCATCGACTTTATCCCTCACTTCCTTCTCCCTCGACTCAAGGACCGTGCCGGCGCGTAATGGAAGGAAAAGAAGCCTCGGAAGAATTGGGGGACCACACCAGTAGCAAGCACTAATCCAGCGCAGCGCGCCACTGTGCACGCTGCAGCGTCCATTGCAGTGCAAGTGTCGCCGGTCGGGCGTGCCGTGGTCCCTTACTCGCCATCGTCGCCTCCCTCTGGCCCGTGCACCGTGAGAATTCTTCGGATTGCTCACTGGGCTAGTGAGTTCACTAGCAGGTACCCCTGCTGTCGGACTGCAGAACTTGGTTGGACCCCTGACTTGGCGTGTCAGATTGGCCAGGCGGGAATGCCACGGCGCGACTACGGAGCACACTGTGCTCGCCACGTACGATGTACCTTACTTGCACTTCGTCGCACCTTGAGGCAGGCATGGCAGGCTACCGGTAGGCACGCAATTTGGGAAGCTCCTTCTGCAACCGTCGTTCCCACGGTTCCGAACTTTATGCTTACCTCATCACATGTCCACCAGGTGCAAGAGATATATCCCCCCCCCCCCAACCACGAGTCTCGTGACCTTATTGACTGCAGTCCTATGAGTGAGCGGAGTTGTGCAGATGCAGGGCACAGTGCTTCAAGACAGTGCCAAGGGATGCATGCAGGCCATCACGCAACTAATAAACTAACCGGCCCACGGTTACGACGAGGATTGCCCCGTCTGCTATCGCAACCTTGGCCCGAGATAATTTCTTATTCCCTTCTCTGCTCTTTCTTTTCCCATCTTGAAATTGGTGCACAATCTAATAAACCACATGGTTGCGGGGTCCATCGTACATGTATGGCAACTTGTCTTCAAACCGCCACGCATGTATCAAGTCGAGACTTTCTTCCTTTTGCTATTCGCTTTCTTTCTTTTTCCTCGTGACTATCAAAGGGATTGATTTATAGGCTCTCAAGTGTCCCCCGGAACAACATGGCTCCGTATCACACTCAACATATTGTACACTACAATACTTGGGTCGAATGAAGCTCTCCAAGTCCAAGTCAATATCACTTCTGCTTGCAAGGGGCAGCTCGTCGACCCACCCCCGCCCCCAATGATATCACGCTGTGCTTAACTTCCCATTTATAGCCTTCTTTCGTCTCAACATCCCGTCTGCTCTACCAGCATCACCAACTCTCCTTGGATTTGTGTCTTGTTCCCGCCCGCTTTGATATCTGAAACCACCGAGCGCCGATGTTGAGCACCAACGTCATACACCATCGTCCGGGGCTGCAGCGAATGGCATCCGCCCTCCCGCCGCGCATCATCCGTCGCTGACCCCTCACCCCACTGTCAACGCTCGTCCTGGCTTTCACCTGTCCTCCAGATGGGATGACTCCCCAACGCCTCCCATTGCAATCCCAGCTTGCGCCTATGCGGTGGCCCGGATCCCAGCTCCGGGAGAACAGGCAATGCGCTATAAACCAAGGCCGTCTGACTGCTGTCGACATGCATCGGTGACGAAACTAGTAGTCGAGGTTTCTGCTGTCTTCGTGCTTCCAGGCTGTGTCTCCTACCTCTGCACTGTCGCCACCACTGCACCGATCGTTGCGCTGCTGCTTGTAGCCATCTGCCGCCTAACATATCGCCGTTGCTGCCGCTCTTGGCGCGAGGTCTGTTGAACTTTTGCAGTTTCTTCCGTTTCTTCGGCATAGTCTTGGGACTCTCTTGGCCAGTTTCGATGTAACGCTCTTCGCCCACACGCGACAACGACGAAGTTGAGCTGTATCTCTTGATGGACCTTGGTCGGCCGAATCGTGGCATGACTGACAGTGTACCGAGTTCTCGCTGGCAGGCTCAGCAACTCAAATCGACTAAAGACAAGACTGATATGCGTATATCAATTACCAAAGGACTGTCAAACGCCTACCGTCATCGCCCCTGATATAAGTCACATCTCCGTACCCAAAGGCTCCTGCTACTTTGGCTACAACTCGTGGCCCATCCTCGAACAAGGTCTCGACCTCGTTTCAAACTCTTGAACAAGAGCCTTCATGTTGAAAACAAATATGTGGGTCGTCTATCGTCCATATTCCTTTTGCAACTTCTCCATCTATTGTTCCCTCCAAACACGTGTCTAGACAACAAAGGCATCTGTTCTCGAAGAGAACAATCATGGCCCATGTCACGGGTCCGCCAAATGGCCAAATGCTGCGGGAGCAAGGCCTGGACGTTTGACTGCTGTCCCAAGTCGTTAGTCGCGATGTTTCAGAGGCGAAGGATGGAAGAAATACGATAAAAATATGGCTCCGTTTCGTCGCGTCCCGTAGAGCCATGACTACTGTGACTGGTATGACCAGTCCGGATACCGGAAGAGAGGCCAACTCCAAGACCTCGCCCACGCGATATGGGCGGGTGTCTTGCAAGTGGGAGGCTCCCCGAGGGACCGCGAGGCATTGGTGTTCCCGTTCCCGTTCCCAGCCCGGACGCAATCGATAGCCCGAACCTTTCATGGCTGCCACTGCCATGTCCTCGGGGTGTACCTCGTGGGGTGCTCATGATGCCGCCTTCGCATTTTTTCAGCGTGCAGTTTCGTCGCATGTTAATAATATCCGGCTTACCTTGCGCAGGTCCTGGTTTTGACCAAGCTCTGTCGTCGCGAAGCGGCCCGGAACCTCCTCCGCCAGCAAGAGGTCTTCGATGTCCCCTTTCCGGCCCGACGTAGGAATGTGCATTGTTGTACGCAGACTGCGACTGCGATTCGTAGATGTTTTGCCTCGCTGCGGGTTCAGGAAACTCAAAAGCCGGTAATTGTAAGTCGTATTGAAGGTTGGAGTCAACTGCATCCGAGGCGGCCGCCTCCATCTGTCCCAACTCGGCTTTCCGCTTGACCTTGTCGTAGAGTTCCTGAACTTGTGTGAGCTTGCGGCACTTGTCTTGGTAGGAACGCGCAAGTTCTTCGTGTTTCCGTCGCATGTCGTCGTAGTCAACTGAGAGAGCTACTGGAAATTAGCAAACTTGTCTGTGACCTCAAAAGACGGCCACGCTGTTGTTTCGTACCTCGCATCTTTTCCTGGAGACTCGAAATGTCGGCATTCGCATCACCCACCGTCTTTTCGAATTTGGTGTTTAGGGTTTTCAGCTTCTCCGTCAGCGTCTTTTCGAGATAGCGCTGGTATATACTATGCTAGGTAAGTGACCAATGCCGAAGGAATTGGGACAGGGACCAGCTCACACTTCTTGGGTTGTCTGGTAGGCCCAAAAGCTCAGAGCCCTTCCTGCACATTCCATGATTATGTTGGGGCTCAGCCCGCTGAGAACGCTGGTTTTGTAGTCTTCGGTCAGGTTCAAGTTGGTCACCACAGCGTCGTCTGGATTGTTGAGCTGGCATTCACAAGCCGGGCACGACTTGCGGCGAACCTGAGCTTGGCCCGTCAAGCCATGACGCTTAGAGCAGTCTACACAAAAGATGTGACTGCACAGGTTCAGTTAGCTAGCGGCTGCTTGATTTGCTCAAGGATATCTTACTCACCTGCACGTGGTGACCAAGGCCTGGTCACTGAGCTCTTTCCGACACTTGAGAACGTTGCATTTAAGAGTATGTTCCATGGCCAACGCTGATGCTGGCCGTTGGATTAAGGGGAGGCTGTAGGATTTGCTACGTTTGGGGAACCTCGATGCTGGTCTGGCTTTTCACCGCCGCGATGTATCGAGTAGTTGTTTCGAAGACAGAGTATGGATTTTCGTGATTCGCTCGCAAAGTGCGAGTGCCTGTCCAGAGGACTAGGTTCGATTCTATCTCGGATCTTTCTCAAAAGAACTTCCCAGAGGTGAAAGGTATCGGTAGTTCAAGAGCGTTCGAGAGAAGAACGGATGCCATTGTTGCGGGTAAAGAATTTCATTGATGTTGGACTTAGCCTTCCTGGGGTACTTTCCTCATTTGACCTACTCGTAGGGCAGTGCGCTGGCCGATATTTCTCCGCGTGCGCAAACTGATAAGTGAGGTCCGCCCTCACGATAGGTAAGGTACCTTAAGGTAAGGAAGGTGGCGAGGACCTACCACAATTACCCACCTTCATTTGGTGCAGGCACGTACCTAGTACTTACACCATGGACTTATGAAGATGCTCCTGCCTCGTCGTTCCTCGAGTAAATGCTAGTAGATACCCGCCTACGATATGGCCGTGACTCTTCCGCGAGAGAAGAGGGATGGGTCACAAACTATTGAAATGAGATGCCTGGCCTATCAACATCGCTTGAACTCACTTTACGATACTGACGGGCTTGCCCTTGAAGTGATGGAAACACTGCCGCCTTTGTCTTGTTTCTCAACGAATAATGTTGCGAATAGGAGGCCGATCGTCTGTTTTCGAAGCTGAGGAAAGCATCTAGAAAGTCGGCTGCCGGAGCCGGTGGGAGACCCAGCCCGACTGCACCGGAGTGGGGCGCATCCCAACGGCCCCCAATCCCCGCAGTGCGGTTCGTTTCGTCTCGGTCTATCGGCCGGGTTTGGGTGACCCACAGTTAACCGAATCAGCGGGGCCGGCACTTTTCGCCGCTGTGGCCGTGTCGACGATGAGACATGCATGAAGCAGTGTCACCAGAATTCTGCTTCGCTTTCTACTTCGTCTAATTACCGGTAGCTCAGTGGTCCCCAATGAGTTTCACCAAGACTTCGAGGAGTCCGAAGGGACAATATTGAGCCTCGGTGTTTTCCGCTAATTCTGAGCAGAGCATGACCCGGTGGTCGCACCGCCCGCTGGAGGCATGACTCGTATGCCTCGTCGCATCCCGTCGACCGAGGCTATTGGCACGCCGGTGCCATCGGGGACTTAGGCCCGGTGTCAAGAGATCAGCAAAGCCTTATTCGTGGTGGGACGGCCGAGTCACATCGTGTCCTGGCGCCCTAGCATTAAGTCTCTCGGCTCAATTGGCAAAGAACACTAGTCACTGGGAGTCTAGAATCTAGAAGAAGGCTACATCCTGGCCTACAATGTAACACCGCAACCCTTGTGTACTGTGGTATAGTCTTCAATTGAAGGCACACAAACGTCACAGAAGCGAGAGTCGCGGCAACTAGACACAGAGTGTAATGTCAGGTTTCATTGTGTACAACCTCAAGATATATCTTATTGAATTGCCGTGGAGTACAGAATGACTGGGTTCGGCATCTGTTATGACGGACGTCGGGCGTCTCTCTCGACGCCACACTCCTGCAGAAGCCCCTTGTCAAGTACGTCAACCTCTGATGAGACTCATTTGAGCCAGAAAGGGCCTGGCAGCGGTATACGAGCATCATTGAGCTTAACGGTCCTCTTCCTAGTGAAATGTTCCTGGCATTCTCTAGCAAACAAGACTTATGATTCGCTCATCGTACAGATACGCGTTTTCATGTCTCTGCTCTTGCCCAACGGTGAGACAAAGCTGGTCCTCAAAACAAGGATAGAGGCATGCTCGTCGCGCACTATAAGGCTCTTCGCGCTGGAAAGGCTCCATCCAGTAGCGTGGCATCTCGTTAAATATTCAACACTATCTTATTTTCCCCGGACAGACGAAGAACACCACGGCGACAAGGGTCTCTGCCGATCGCCTACATTGTCAAATCACCGTAGAATCGTTATGTGGCGTAGCAGGCAAGGTACAATGAGAAATAAAAGGAAGAGCGAGGCATGTGAGGCGCCAGAGGGTAGGGGAAAACAGGGACTACAGAGAAGACAGAAGAACCAGGACTAGAACAAGGATCATGGGATGATTCTGGATGTGTGGGGTGCGTGGCGTCTATGAGGGGGAGTACAGAACAGGGGTAACTCTGCTCTCTGCGGGCCGACATCCCAGAGAGGCCATCCTTGACACCTCCACCATCCCATTTACCCGCCCAATCGCAACTCGGGTCCTCTCGGATATCTGCGCGTTCATCCTAGCTTGGTTCACCTTACCTCGGATCATGGAAACCTCACTCAACCTCAACCTCTCCAGCTCTAACCTCTGCATGAACCCTCAGCTTCTCTTTGAGGAATGGGGAGCATGACGCTAAGAGAAATGGCCACCATTGACGAACCTTTGACGAACCATCCTGCTCCGTTCCAACCACTCACCTCCCAGCCAGCCTCGTCCCGGCCGACGCCATGGCATGATCGCCCGCTCTCCCGATCGCGACGTTATGCTTGAAATGAGTAACAAAAAGTCCCCTCCTTTGTGCCCTGTCATAGTTGTGCAACCCGAGGTAAGGTACACTTGCGCTATGTGTTGTTCAGGGGTAGGTGAAGCTCCTGCTATTCGTCAGCAGACTTATAATTCGCTGATGCTCTGGAGCACATCTTGTTATGGAACAACCTCCCGCTTCTCAAGGATGGGAAAGTTGAATAATGCTCCATGACTTCGCGGTACGTAGGACTCTGCACATCACTCGCATCCAAGGCCTCTTTACAGCCATGTGCCTGCCATGGCCGCAGCAGGACGTAAAGTTATGCGGCCACGCAGGGGCTCATGAGGATCGTAGGACCGGCCGACGAGGCCCAGTCTTGCCTTGCCGGCACTCCAGAGTAGCTCCTCGCATGGCAAAAACACACGTGGTCGATGTCATTGTTGCCAACGGCGGGCCGGCGAGTGAGCCCGGGGTTAAAGTGAGCTCCAGGCTGTCTCTTGTCACAGTTTGTTTTCTTCATGGGGTCTCGTTTGATTGCAGGTCATACGTAAAATCGTCATCGTCATTTCGGGGCGTTTCCAGTAATCTTCGCTGCCATCATGTCCCGTTTTCCATGCTTTCAGGCGCGCCCGCCACCCTCCCCCTTTTCCTCTTTTTGGCCCCGTCAATGTGACTGGCGTACGTTCCAAGAAACTCCGAGCACTATTTGGCTCACCTTTTTGGGCATGCGAGCTTATGTACAGCGTCTCTGGCTTCGGCCTATAACGCCCTCCGCCAAGTGTCCCAATCCCAGCATCAGGATCCAAGTATGTACCAGAGAAACAAAGCCAGAGCAAAATCCCTAATGTGACACATCAGTGGACGAAGAAGCCGCCCTCCATGCCGGCTACCTGGCTGCCCATCATACCGTAGTCCATATGCATCATATGCTCGCTCACGTTGTACGGGGAAAAGTCGACGGCCTGGTCAGGACCCTGGCCCCAATACATGCCGTCCATATCCCATAGTCCATGCTGATCGAGCATGCCCATCATGCCCATCCCTTCCGGCTCCAGGCCGATGGGTGACATGTGCAGCTCCGCCTCCGCCATCAGCATCCCTTGCTCGCCCGCCAACCCTTGCAGAGGGCTTTCTGACCGCATCGACGGCTGTCGAGAGGCTTCGTACATTCGCCACACGACCTCTCGGCTACGCTTCGCCGCCAATGACCAGTCCTCCATAGCCTCCAGCAGGTCGAGGATCGTCTCGATCTGCTGGTGCCAGTCGGCCACACGCGGGCTATTCCATTCCCAGAACGTGCTGACCAGTGGGATCATGGCCGCTTGGTAGAGGAACCACACAGCGTTCCATCCAGACATTTGGTTGCGAGTCCATTCCCGGGCAATATCCTCAATGGTCTGCTTCGCGAGCTCGCGGCACGTCTCAATGGCCGTGACGTCCTGCTCGGCCACGTGAGACAGCGAGCCGTTGCTAGCCAGACTCAGCAGAACGGGTCGGTGGAGGAGCATCCGCAGGTTCTGATATCGCCACTTCATGATGCATCGGGCAATGTACAACGGCTCCGCGCAGGGGTCCGTCGTTCTCAGGAGCCACGGTAGGCTGCTGTACCAGTTGACCAGCTGCCCGTCGAGGTTGCAGCGGTCTTCTGCGCGGAGGAGGGGCGAAATGGCCAACAGGTCCTGGATCTGTGTGGCAATCTTGCAGAACTTGATATTCTCGATGAGGGGCAAGATGCCGGCGTGCTGCGCAGAGTCCCGGCCCTGGCTGATTCCAAATTCTGGCGGCCGGATGTTAATGGCAGGGCCCCATCGGCCGAACGAGGGTCGTCCCATTGTTGTTGTTGCCCATGTATCGAGGCAGAAGAGACTCCACCACGTACGGCGTCTGGTCTCGGCGGCGGCAATGTCGCTGGACCCTTGCGCCAGGCTCTCTCTGTGAAGGCCGAGGGCGCTTGCCATTCTAATGGCCGCGCCAAGGACAGCGTTGGCCATGTTGGGTCTGTTGATGTAGTGCAGATAGTAGCCTCCGATCAGCGCGAGGGCTTGTACCATTTCGATATGGCTGCTGCCAAAGGCATCCATGGGCAGATGCTCCATGGCCCTATTATAGTAGTTGATGTGGTTGTAATCGTCCGACTTCATAGCGACAATGCTGCCCATAGCAAAGACCATGTTCAGTAATGCTAGCCAGGGGGCATCAAAGCGCTGGCCTTCCAGATAATCGGCTCGGAAAGCGGCCTCGTCCAGCATGGGAACGAAGACATGAATGCGTTTGAAGTAAGCATCAATGAGCGTCTGGCCCTTCCATGACCACGGGATGCGCTGGGTATCCTTGGGCACGGCGCTTCTCTGTCGCATAGATGGGAAGCTGTGTGTGACTTCGGCGCTCTGGAGCGGCGTGGTGAGCGCGTTGCGAAGTGCCGGCTGAACCTTCATGAGACACATGAGCGCTGCTTTGATTGAAGAGGCGCCGAGATATGACGATTGACGGTCCACGGACAGCGAGAGGGCGTTGACATCGTCGGCCTCAATGGGGATAGGATCGCGTACGCGGCGTTCTTCGTCCCACTCGGTGTCCCGGCCAGGCATGAGCTCGAGGCTCGAGAAGCCCCGCTCGGAGCCGGAGCAAACCGGGGAGTCTAGTTCTTGTGAGAGGGGGGAGGTGTTGAGAGGCGGTGAGGGTAGCGCGGTTGGCGTATCCAGGACCGGGTGTTCAAGGAGACCAAGGAGGTCGTGGCGAGATAATGGGAGTAACGATTGTACGTCTTGATGGGGAAAAAGACGCTTGAGCACAGAGCGGCATTCTTCGAGAGACTGTGAGAGTGCCTCGAGCGTCTTGCGAGACGGAATGACGCGCTGTCTGTGCTTGTCATAAAAGCAGCGCTTGGGAGCCCGGCTTGAGAGACATTGGCCGCATGGCTGTTGGCCATCACAGCGGCTGTCAAAGAGGTTAGATGATATCGGGTCAAGAGAGGCCGAGCGGAACGTACATCTTTCGTCTCTTGCACTCGGCACAAGCATGTGGGGTAGTGATTCTCTTCGAGCCTGACGAGCTCGTCGATTTGCCGCCTTCCTGCGACTCTGACGTCTGCTTCCGTGGCGTCACGCCCTGGACTGGATGGTGTGAGTTGGAGAAGACAATCACGGCTCAAAGAGACTCACAGGTGTGAAACATTCCACCCTGAGCGGGTACTGAGATGGACGGAGCCATGTTCGCGGTTGCCGAGAAGATGGAGTTGCTCTGGCCGATGAGAAGCTGAGATAATTCGCAAGAGCCTCGGGTAATTCTGTCAAGAGGCGTTGAGATGATCAAAAGATCTATCTTTGTCTTTGCGGGAAATCCAGACGCACAGATCAGTTCGTCAACAAGGTTGGCGCAGACGCAGACATTAAATACAAACTGGAAGAGAGAGTTGTTGAGTAGAGTCAAAATGAAGTACCCTCCCGAGCACGGCAACCATTCGAGGGACCCGGCGCGGCAACACTGGGTGTGGGGAAAAGCAGCATGGGTCTCGAGGTGCACTGAATGAGAGGGAAAAGAGGCGATGGAACCTCAATGCCGTGTCGGCTACGTGAAGCAAGATGGACAGGCAATTGAGCTTAGGGTTGGCCGGCCGGAACCAAACCAGGCTAGACGGCCAAGAAAGTGACTGGGGGGCTCACAATGGAGGGGGGCTTGATCCAGATTCAGAGTGTCTCTGGTCCATAGCGAGGTGACATCTGTAGAATGTCGATTGCATATGTTCATGGTGTGTGAAAGAGGCGGCTGGTGGGCTATTTCTTGAGAGAGAGAGAGAGAGAGAGAGAGAGTGAGAGAAAGAGGCAGAGGGCAGAATGAGCTAGGACGAGGGGAACCGAGAGAAGTGGATTGAGTGTACAAACATGGGCGTGTTGGAGCCTTGGAGGCGACGAGCCGAAGAGGTGGTCAAAGTCAAACCTGCGAGGTTCAGCGTGGAGCCGTAGACTCGCACCTAGTGCCAGGAACGCTGACCGGGGTTTCTTCTCCCAGAATCCCTGGAGGAGGGGCGTGGACGGATCATGAGAGTGAACGGGACCGTAAGAGGGCCAAATTCCGGAGGGACGGGAACGATACCTAGGCAGGCCAGACACTATATCATCAGACCAAAAGATGAGGTACGACAACTCGCTGGTCTGAGTGAAGCGCAACGCTGAGTGGTGGACCTGGCCTCACAGAGATTCGAGTGGGACGGCATGATGGGAAGCCTCGTGGCGGTGTCTTGGACTCCAGGGGCTTGAGGATCGTGGCCAAGGCCACTACCGAGCGGCCGACACAGGCACACAGGCACCGTGGTACAGAGAGTTCAGATGGTGGGAGAGGCGTAAAAGCAGCGCAGATCACTGTTGGTAGGTAGAGTGCTATATCGTTGGTTTATAGTAGTAGAAGTCATTGGTAGGCAAAGCAGGAAGAAGCGGAGGATGAAGCGAAAGACACACCCCCTTTGGATATCAAGGCGATCTGTGATTGGGGCAGAAAATCTGGAGAGTGTGGAGAAGGATGAGGATGAGGAGGGATGACAGGTTTGTGTCACTGTGGCTGGTGAAAGATGGGATGGGTGGGAGAATGCAGGTTTGCTAGATACAGCAAGTCAGCAGTTAGCGACACCAACAACACAGCTCAGGTGACACGGCACGATGGGCTAATGTACGGACGAAAATATGGGGATTGGGGTAAGGTTGCAGTGCGCAAATGGCTCTAAACCTCGTTGTGAGGAGATTTGCGAAAAATGGGAGCGAAGAAGTCGCAGGAGGGATGGGTGGACACGGTTGGTCTTGTCGTCCGGACCGATGGGCAAATTGTTAAATTAATCAACAGGCAAAGTTTGGCGGTTGGGGGAGGGCAAGCAATGTGAATGAGTGAATGAGAGAGTGAGAGAGTGGTCTGGGGGCGGGGAAACCGGCGATGGGAGGGCGGGGGGACGTCGGGTCAAAGTGGGGTAGCGTACCGGGCCACGGGCTTGACAGGCCACTCAGAGGACAGTACGGAAGACGGGACAACGATGGGAACGTACCGCTCGCAACCGTGATTACCTACTGCGCGTGTCCACCACCCGATGTGATCAATTTACCCTCGGTACCTCTTTCCTTCTATGCCTTAGACATGTATCCATAAAGTAAGGTAAGGTAATGTAAGGCAAGGAAAGGTACCTTACTGCCAAACGGAGGTGTGTAATAAGAAACACCTTGTAGGCAACATCGCATCGCATCGCATCGCATCGCATCACATCACATCACATCTGGCATCCGAACGGTTACTGGGATCCTTATTCGTTCTCAGACATAGTTCCTGGGACCTTGATCCACGGTCAGGTGCGTATTGCAAGTGGCAATGGCTTCCACGTTGGACGGCAAGCGGGTGAAGTAGTGTTTAGGTTGAAGTGCCCAGTGACAGCCGTCAGCCACTGACTGGTGGGGAATCTCAATCGGGCGGGGCCGAACCCCTGGCGCGTGAAGCTAAAGTTATTGCTTTTCTTGCGGTCCGCGAATGCCCACGATGCCTTCCATTACCTTAGCAGTGCTTAAGTAAGGAACATATACGTAGTAGACACGGGCCATTATCTCCAACTTTCTTTTTCCTTCTCGAATTCTGGACGTGTGCGACCGTGCGACCGTCGACGTGAGGGAGGCAGGAAAGCAGTTCCCCTTTCGTGTCAAAAGAGGCAGGTTCTCCATGCTTACCTAAGGTAATAGCATCAGCCACACCGGTAATATGTAGTCCCGCCTCAGCCATGGCATTTACACCTCATTTCAACGACGACAATAACCACGGTCTGGAATTCCTTACCAGCGCGCTGTTATCCGTACCGCTCTAGCCGAACGCGAAGCTCTTGACTCTTGCCCGACCCTCTATTCCCTTTCTTTTCGAGCCTTGGTGTGTCTTTCAGGCCTTCCGTCTCCGTCTCCGCGCATATCCGCAGCCGTCCTGAACATGTGGAGCAAGATCCATACGCGCATCGCACACCAAGTCTTTTTAGCCTGTCTCTAAGCTCCATTGTCTGCTCTTTTTTCTCAATTTTTTATCCATCCTCTCCATCTTGACAGCCGGTCACCATGGACTTCCTCTCATAGATTGGGTGCCAGGCTAATTCGCCTACTGTGGTAGAGGCGTGTGGTGAAGGGAGGAGGTGTGGAAGAAATAAACAGGGTGGTACCACCGCCGATCCAGGGTATCCGTACACCTTCTTTCTAAAGCCCCTCCCCCTCCTCCCCCCTGCTTCTCCAAGCTGTCCCCGCATCCTTGTTAAAGAAGACGGCCTCCAATTTGTGAGGGGACACAAATTTCTTTGACATCTGACTCTGTTTTCCATGTACAGACGAGACGACACCTTCTCGGCCTCATGCGGCAGCCCGACAGCAGTCCGATATGGTTGATCAATTCATGTCTTACACCTCTGCTCTGTCCTGATCCGGTCTGCTCTAACTGGCGGACCGGCTCATTGCATCTCACTTCGGCCGGCTTGCTTACCATCCCTCCCTCATCGGCCCATCAGGGGATGACATCTTGACCGAGCGAAAAGCAGGAAATTGATCAACGGCTTGCCGGACTCTGAAAGGCTGTCTTATTGTTTCATCGTGAACCTCGTCATGGGAAGCCGCATTATAGGACCCGAAGGCGACCAAACTCGCGGCAAGCGTCGTGAAGCTATCTAGAAGTCATAGCAGCGTTCAAGTATAGGTGCATCTTCCAAGTCTCAGTAGACTTGCTTCCACTACACTCCAACAGAGAGACCTTATTTCTGCCCGGCTTCGATCCCGAAAGCTTTCGGCTGTTTCAAAGCACTTCCCGCCGGCATGTGCCGCCCATCGTGGGTCTCAATTTTGGCTTCATCGATCCAGGACGACCGGCCCTACCGACGGGTACCTCTCACAGGAGCGCCAGACGGACGAAGCGGCTCAGTCACGCATTCATCACAGCCCATGTCACACCAGCATGCGCCTATTCTTCTTTTCTGCTTCTTCCCTCTACTTCTTGGAGTACTTAAATCTGCCGCCCGTCTCATATAGCTCCATAACCGCTCCTACCCTCCCCACACCCCTTTGCATTACAAGTTTGGTTCCTCCAACCACGCTGCCTCCTCTACCGTCTCGACCTTTCCTCCCTTGGTTTCTATTCCGGCCGGCCTCCATCATTACTGGGTATGTGTTCAGAGTCTCGCGTGCGCGACCTGGACGGAACAACTGTACCTGGAGAGCCTGCACTAATCAACAACGGCAAGACACATCAGGTGGACAGCCTTCCACGCAATGACACGCCTTGCTGAGGAGCTGTACCTGGCACCTCTCCCGACGAACCGTTCCCATGTCCCCTGCGTATTGTCTGCCGCCCGTCATCCGTTAAAGGAGCAGATTTGCCTAAAGTAAGGAACGCCTATTCAACTGCTAAAAGCCACACTAATGCATCTAGGTCTTTGCGGACCCAAAGAACGACACACGGCTCACTGAGGGACTCCCTGATCTTATCACCACCACGTCTGTCTCTGGGCCGTTGTGTCTCAATCTCCCGCTGACGCACCGCACTGAAGACCTGGTACTGTGGCGGTGACCGCTCATGTGCTCGACAAGAGCTAACCTTCACTTCGCGGTTGACCTCGTGCAATGCATCCGTACTTATTGGGTATTCGATACCCCACAACATTGCCTCCCTCCTCCATCGACCAGGCATGACTAGAAGTCTAAAACACATCGACTAAGGTGTGGTATGCTCGATCCGGTCAGCCGACAGCACCTCACTCTTAGGCGCCCTTCCTCGCTGGCCTGGAGCGGGTGCCTGCTCCTGCATACCGTTGGATTTTGAAGAGAAGACTACTCTCTCTATAATGCCGACTACACGCGCCACTACAGGGAACAATGGCCTCCCCGACAACCTGAGATGAAACAATGTCTTTCGCTAATCTGCATGACCACGGCATATGCTGGCTTGTGGGATATATCCCTCTTTGAGTTGCCATGTGCCTCACGCGGTACTCCCGGCCAGTGGCAACACTACAGGCTGAGATATGTTTTGGCATCACAGAACACCGCAAAAGATGGTCTTTGATCACGTCGATCAACGAGGCGGCATCGTTTTCGCAGTCGCAAACCACCAGGCACTCCTGCAGTAGCTTGTCCATGGTCTGCAGAGGATGATCTCCAAGGTTCCTGAAGGCATGGTTCCCCAGATTCAGGATTGTGCAATAGCAGAGGGTATCGGACCCGGCGAACCGTCTAGACTTGTCGTCTCCTGTCTAGCCGCGCTTCTCCTGCGGGGATCTTTGAGTCACGGGTTGTGGAGGTAGGGGTGCGTATGTTTGCATGAAGCATGGTTGGCCTTCCAGTAGCGGCTTGTGTCCGACGCTGACTGAAGCTTGCAACTTCTCAAGCCGACGGTCGACCGGGGCAGTGTAACCGTGATTTACTCAGCCAGATTCTTCCGCGAGTCCGGTCCCAGAGTATGCTCAATTTGCGAGTAATCAGAATGACAAGGGCCTCTCCGACGACTATCCGTAACTTGTAAGGCCTCCTGCGGGATATACGCGGGAGTGATCACGAAGACTGCGAAATGCCGCATGGGCGCTCTCGAGTGTGCATTTTCGAGGCTCGTACATGTCGTTCAAACTGGCTTCCGAAAGAGGCCTGCCCAGCTTACTATGTTCGCCGGCACAGCAATTCGGCCCGCCACCTTTATCGACACGTGTCTAATCTTATTGACGCATCTGGCTCGGCTGCTCGACGGCTGCGCCCGAGAGACAGGGAAAGTTGTCGAGTGACGGCTCTACTTGACGGGCAGCGAGCCCGTTTACGGACCAGCCCGCACAGAGACGGCTGCGCCTTTCTCTGCCCGTTATTCTCGGTTCAATACAGGACCCGCTTGTCCATCTGATGAGCGAAGAAGAAGTCTGGGGTATTCTACTTTGGAGAAAACGTCATACATTTTGACAAGTCTTGTCAATCCTTTTGCCGGCCCTTGTCCTCTACGAAGATTGACTCTATTTCCACACCTCGATCTTGGGCCCGTCAAACGCACTGCGGGATCGAAGCAACAGCACAAGTAGCACTACGCCGCAGAAGAAGTCGGCGCTATTGCTCCATCACTTGGATTTGACGATATAGCCGCCGTTCAAAGTCTTCCTGTCGGTTACATTCTGCGCAGTCCATGCACCCTGACCCATCTTGGATGCGCATCCTGAGAATAGCCCCTCCTTGACCGCCATGATAGCAACTCGATGGAGGCATGCGGCTTGCAAACCGTCTCGAGATGCATCGCCCAGCCCAGGAGGTACGCATCCCATCATACGGCAGCCCACTTTGACACTTGCTCGGGCAACTCGCCGCACGTATCCGACCTTGCCGCCCGCCGCCGGTTCAGCCTGCAAGGCCAGCCGGACGAACCTGCAGAGGATCGTGAAGTTGATGGGTGTCTGCTGACACGGCTCAGACGCACACACACGCCCATCTGCACCCATCTACACCCTCTTATTCCCGCCGTTGGCTTGCGTATTGCTTATGGATCGTGCCAGACATTGAAGAACTGTCAGACAGACATTTCGCTAGTTTCGTGCCTTTCCAATGCCTTGGAGGCAGTCCTTTCGGAAAGCCAGCCGAAAACCTTGGTAATATGCTGACCATCACGTCCAGATTCTGTACCAATACCAAGAAGTCGCTTTCTTAGCTGTCGCTAATCGGATTCCTGTTCCGTCCAGAGCCGCCCTCGTTCATATTCCAGAATTGGAAATTCTGGACATCCGGCTCCAAAGTCGGAATGTTCCTGATACCCTTTGCGGTTTTCTGTTCTTGAACTTCCGAATCGTTTTGGTTGTTGTTCACTTGTTTGACGTTGTTTTATTCCCTCAGTCGCGCAGTATGTTACATTGTTTCTGTATGAATAAGACCACAATAAACGGGCGGCTCCGCTGTTATATGCCGTCGTTTGAGTCAGGGAAGAATCTTCTACCCAGCACTTCTCACTTATCAGTTTCTTTTTAATAAGGAAATTCAAAGGTTTGGGGGCCGTTGAAGAATTATATCCCATATCCCACCGGAATGATCTGAGAAGCAAAGAATCCTTATCTCTCCGAAATCGTCCGAGTTCTTGGCATGCATTTTCAGTGTTTTCAATGTCGTACTCTCTGTACAGATCAGACGATCGATGCCTTTTCACTGCGGACACTTTTGCCCACAATCCGGAAGTTTCATTCTCGGGACCTGATATCACGGCAAGACTGACAGATCACTCATCATTTGCATATGTACGGTCAAAGACTGAACAATTGGCGGTGAATAGGGCCCTTGAAGATTATGAAGCCGACAAGAATCATATCATGAGGCATAGCAGGTGGACTTCTCCAGGTCGCCATCGTCAGCCCTCGTCACGTCCATCTGCTCCAGAGCGGTTCCGCATACCCCTGGCCGCATCGCAATTCATCCACATCCCAGGTAAGGTAGCTGTAAGGGACTGCGGTCCGACGTGATCTCCGCCCAGACAACCACACACCCATCCGACAGGGTCCAGTGATGGTTAAAGTGGTGTCCTTGCCCAACCCCGGCATTGCAAATCAGTTTGCTGCGGCGCTAGAGTTGCAACCACACACCCCTCCCCCAAACAAATTGCCATCCCGGAAACCATCTCCATGTCTCCCAGCTCTAGGTACCACTGCCACCACTACCCCCCTTTGACCTTTCTCCAATATTGGAAAAACAATCTATTCTTCCGGGATCTGCGACTTCAATGCCGGACGGTTCCCCCTTGGGGTTCTCCCAGGGTCACGGTGCGTACCATCGTCTTCCCCTCATCTCTCCGCCCAAGGGGAGTTGCTCCCAACTTTTCACCAACCACGCTGGCTGGACATAGCATCGTCAGCTTCCCCGCACGCCTTGCTCTAGTGGGGTCCACGGTCCATGGTTCATGGACGGCCGTTCTCATGAAAGCCAGGGGTTACCACGAGCGGCCGGATTGGAAAGTATTTCCGACCCCCTAGAGACGAAGAATTTGGCATCGGCTTGCGATGCCGTCGAATATGCAGGTGTTCTCGATGGGTACGTATTGGTTCGTGATGATTTTGATCGTCTCCTGAGCCACCATACCGCCTGTCACGGCGGAAACGTTGTGCAGCTCTCCACCGCCAGACCTGGCTACCTCTTGCGCCGCCTGCGCGAGCCGCTCGTTGTCGCTCCAGTCTGGAAGCAGTGTCTTGATCTTGTCTAGAATCTCATCCGAAGATGCCGTGGGTGTGTGTGACGTGGACTGGAGGGCGAGATAGATTGGGAATAGCGACAGTGGCACCACGCCCTCCTTGGCCATTTCGTCGTTGGCAAATTCCTGCGCTGTAAATGCAATGTGTGAGCACCGGCTGTGGCAATCCTCGTGGAGATGTTCCTCACCTGCTACGCTACGTAGTTGTTCGGGCCCGCCACTTGCAGGGACGACCAGCTTGACAAAGGCCGCATTCTTACAAAACAAGTCGACCTCGGCTGCGTCGACGCCCTCGCCACCGGCTTTCTGACGGACCGATTCAAGCACCTCGGCCGCATCTTTGCGGGCCTTGGCCTTGTAGATGTTCTGAAGCTCAACATATACGCTAGTTTGGGCCTTCATGTCTGGGAGGCCGCCCGGTACTGGCAAACAGCCGTGCTTCTCATAAAAGTCACGGACCGCTCCTGCGATGATCCAGAAGCTAGAGGTGGCTTCGTTCTGCAGAGTTGTTAGGTGGGTTGGCCTTTTTAGGTAATACAGCGGGCACTCACCTCGTCGGCATGCTTGTACTCAAAGACCTCCTTGACGGCAGAAGGGAGTGACGGTGGCGAAATAGTCTTCAACACGGCAGCTTCAGCCTCCTCAAAGTTTTCCTCACCTCCTTCAGGGTTGTCTGTTCTCGTAGCAGCGGCCACCGTCTTGCGAAATTCGACTTTTTCCTTATAGTTGCTCGGGGGCTTAGAGTCGTGAGATGACTTCCATTCTTTCAGGTAGTGTAGGAGAATAACAACGAATGGCAGGTGGCCGTGTTCATGGCTATCGAGACTGTCAATATCTTTCGTCAGGCTGTCGGCAAAGGCTTCCAGCTCTTCCCACGGGGTGAATAGCCGCAAGTCCGTGATGGCTGTAACGTCAGGATGAGTGTCGACGATGGGGTAGATGCCTGGAAGACGAGTGCTGAAATAGGAGTAGAAACCCGCAGAGTGTATCGCGATCACTGGCACCTTGTGCTCTCGGCTGTACGACTCGAGTACGGTGAGGTCTTCTTGTTTCATGGGAAGTGTGTACAAGATGATGGTGAAGGGGTTGGAGGTTTTAAGAAGCTCCTGGAGGCCCGTATTTTCCTGCTACTGTGTTAGTCTTATGACACAGGTTCCATGATTCATTTGCCTCACCGAAGTTTTAGGATACCAATCACCCTGAACCTCAGGATTGAGCTCTAGCAGAAGCTCAGTACAGCTCTGGGCCCTGGACTTGCCGAGATGGGACTCGTCCAGGAAGAAGTTGACGCCAAGATCAGCCTCATTCACAACGGCATCATCAGCAATCGTGAAATTTCCAATTCCTAAGAACGTTAGTTTTGGATGATGAGTATTGAATAGCAGTGCACATTCAGAGCCAGCATGTAAGCTACCGGTTTCATACCTGGAAGTACGAGATTCTTGAGTGTTTCAACACCTACAGTGCCCGTGCCGGAATTCACGAGCAAGATGTTGGCAGACTCCAGAGCAGCTTGCCCGCTCGCAGCCCAAAGCCTGAGTTGGCGGTCATATTTCTTTTCCTTTTCCGATGGCACGGTGAGGGCTGGCGGCGCCTGGTCGGCTATGATGTCTGTCATGGTTGAAGCGGGCGAAGAGAGACCGCACGGGGATGTGTCAAGTATTGAATACTAGGATTCGATGAGATCCAGGGACAGTCCAAGTCTCGATATAGTGAGGTTCGATAAGTCAATGCGATAGCAAGTCGGCCTTGACTGACGATAGCGACAGGACGTGTGCACTGTGGTGGGTTGGATGTGGGACGGTCGTTGCCAGCGCCTTTTTGGCCGTTTGAAGGTGCCTGGGCTGAGTGTCGTCAACGACGAAGTGGCACCAAAGCATAGTGCTGGGGTTCTTCGCACGGTGAGGTGTGAGACCACGGATGAGGTAAGCAGGCGATGACTTATTAATACGGTGCTGGTTACCTAAGGAGGCACGTGGGAGGGCGGGCCTCCGTCCGGCCCGGGAAAGGGCCGCATTGGTACCCGTACGGCCGTGGGGTCTTACCTTCCGGACAACGCCCCACAATTGCGATCCATCTCCGCTTTCTTTTTCCCTTAGACATTGTGAAATTGACTGGAACTTTGCTTGTCAGGTATGAACAAAACCCCCTGCCTTCGCCCTCTCCATCTACGATCGTCAGACACCAGCAGTGCCGGGAACGGTCAGTCGTATGTGCACTCAAAGCCAAACATGAAAAACCAACAAGCTGAGAAAGAAGCAACGGAGATCCCAGTCAACCCAGCCAGTATTCTTTGCCATCTCAATTCTCTCAACTCAGCACCTGTCTCTGCCGTGTGCGCGTGTGTACATATCTTTGTGCACTCTGAGCAAACATGCCACGAAATGAAGTTTGCGTCTCCCTCGTCTGGTCTGCTCTATAATCTCCTTACCCTGTTGTTTGCTTAGGGGTTACTGCTGCTATCTTTACAGTTCCCAAATGATACTAGGGAGAGTGGGAGATAGCCCGGATTTACACATCCTAACAGCACATTGTATTCGGTGCGTGGCGCAGCCATCCACTACGGAGACTCAACGATCACCGAAGCCAGGACTTTGAGTGCATGACCATGGTTTACTCCCTACTTACGAGCGCCGTCCGAGTGGGCATTGCGAATAGGCGGTGTCGAACCCACATTCCTCAGCGACGGATTCGCCTCTCTTCTTCATTCCCGTCGCTGGGTTTAAGCACTGAGTCTGCGGCCTGGCTGCGCACTCGGCAGCTGGATCCAGCGGAGCATAATTGTTCGGTCGGTAGTCACGAATACCCTTCGGCGTTGGCAAACGTTGCTGAGCAAACTACGATGCTGGCCATCCTCGGACTTGGAAGATTGAGGTCATCTATCCTGGATCCAGTGATTCACGGAGCTGAAAGTTAGGGCCTTCGCCGATGAGATACCATTGATCAGATCGGGCCTGGATTGGATGATGGATCTAGACCACGTTGCAGCTGATTCTTTAACGGCCGTGGTGCGTCGGGGAGGCGGGTTCTAGCATTCCTCATCGGACGACCTGCTGCCACCGAAAGGCTATACAAAACCCCAAGGGGACTCCGACCGAAAGAAATGCGGCGGCCTAGACTATTGCACTATCGTGCCCTCCCTTCTTCGCTCGCCTCACTGGTATTGGTCTGTCTCACTACCGACTTGTTTGACTCTCTGGTGGTTTTTTTTGGTGTGGCGCGCCGGGTCCACGCCGCATTCGCCTACGGGATCAGCTTACGGCCGGCAGCAGCGGCGGGCCAAAGACAAACAACTGGGACCGTGAGCTCAGGAGGTCGTTTCTGAGCTAGCGAATGCGAATGCGTTGCTGAACGCCGAACGTTCGTTTTTTCCCTAATTCGTCTCGCCCCGAACGCCGATTCAACCTCTCCAGTTCTCTCTTATGTTCGGCCATGGCACCTGTCAACCTTTTAATCGCGTTCCCTTCGTGGGTTTCGCCCCGTTCTGCTTACTTGGACCTCGCATTCTCTTCCCAAGCGTCTTTTGATCCTCCTGTCAGATTCGCTTCCCGGGCCTCTCGTGACATCCTTCACTATGAGTTGCCCCGGCTCTGCTTCTCAACCCCGTATCTGTACATCGTGAGTGGTTGTCGACATAGTGTTGCTCCGACACCGACGACCTTCGAGTCAGACTTTCGCCCTACCGACGGACAGGATTAAGCCGAGTGAACATCCCTTCAGAACCATCAGTCACATCAACAACTACTTAATCGTTGTACAAGGCCTGGATCCACCGACAACCTCGATTTGACATTCACGACCACATCATTACATCGACGACACTCTCATAGCGACTGCTACTTGCTGGCATAACTCTGCATCGTTGAGGGAAGCAATCGTCATGGGTAACATCAAGGAGGACATCGAGTCCACCAAGGCCGAGGGCCTAGTAGAGAATCATCATTACAGAGATGCCACCTTGCCGCCATGGAGATTCTGGCTGCTCAGTATTGGGTAATTATCCCCACGATGTGTTGAGGGCTGCTGTAGATCTCTATGCTAACCTGCCCGAAAGACTCTGTCTTGGACTGTTCCTTTCCATGTTGGATGCTTCAATCGTGGCAACAAGTCTGTACACCATTGGCACAGAGTTTGACTCGGTCGACTTGATCAACTGGGTTGCACTCGCATACACGCTCACATACCTAAGTTGTGCCGTCTTGGTGGCTCGAGCATCCGACATTGTTGGCCGCCGCAATGCCTTTTTGGCAAGCTTCATCATCTTCTTCGCCTTTTCCCTGGGCTGCGGGTTTGCCCAGAACTTGGAGCAGCTGGTTGCATGCCGTGCCCTGCAAGGCTTGGGTGGTTCTGGTGAGAAGAGAATGCTAGTTATCGTCAAGTCATTTGCTAAGTTTCCGCCAGGCCTTTATTCCATCACCATGATTATCTTTCCTGAGGTTGCCCCCAAGCACTTGCTTCAGTACATGTCCAGCCTCGTCGGCATGGTCATTGCGAGCGCCGGTGTGCTTGGCCCAGTTCTGGGAGGTATCCTTACCCATTACGCCTCTTGGCGGTGGATCTTTTGGATCAAGTGAGTGAACCCAGTCCTTGGAGAAGAACGTCCGTGTTCTAACATCAAAACAGTGGTCCCGTTGGCTTCGTCTCAATGCTCATCTTCTACCTGACATGGCCCGACGCTAAACACCTCCCGACGCTGCAACGTAGACGCTGGAAGGAGCTGGATATCGTGGGCTCCTTTCTTCTCGTTGCAGCATCAGTTCTCGTTGTCTTCTCCTTTCAAAATGTCGGCTCGGACGGCAATAAGTGGCGTCAAGCCGTCTTCATCGCCCCCGTTACCGTCGGTGGCGTATGCTTCATTTTATTGTTGGGATGGGAGGCTCTCGTCGCCAAGTTCTGGAGCAGCCGCATCATGGCCGCTATTCCGATGCGACTTCTGCGCAACCGTGTCTACGTCGCCACAATCCTCAACACGATGTTTCTCGGGTTTCCGTACCTCCTGGTCATCTACGCCTTCCCTGTCCACTTGCAGATCGTCAACGGAAAGAGTTCGTTGCTTGCGGGTATTCTACTTCTCCCCATGCTAGGCTCTGTCGCGCTAGGAACCACTCTCGGCGGAATCATCAACAAGAAAAAGAACCGACTTTTTGAGACAATGACGACGGCAAGCTGCTTCGTGTGTATCGGCTGCGGCTTAATGACGACACTGTCGTCGTCTGTGGAACTGGAACCCAAAGCACTTGGTTTCCTTACGTTTATCGGCTTTGGCTTTGGTTTGTCAGCCACTTCATCAACCGTCCTAGGAGCCACGGAGTCCGAGATTCCAGATCATGGTGAGTAATCTGACTCTGCTAGATGTAGACAGACAGCTAACGGAGCAAAGCCCCCGCACAAGGAATCATCGCACAGGTGCGGATTCTCGGTGGCAGTCTGGGAATCGCCGCGTCAACGGCCATCTTGGGCAACTTCATGCGAGACGAGTTGACTGGCGTGCTCACACCGGGACAGCTGTCGTCGCTCCACGGGGCAGGGGCGAACTTGACGGAGGCGCAAGCCGCAGCCGTGCGTCAAGTCTATACCGACTCCTTCTGCAAAGACATGCAAGTGGGAGCTATTCTATCTGGCATAGCGATCCTACTCAGTTTTGGCGTCTATCGTCGAAATCGTGTTACTATCGAGGAGCAGCGGCAAATGCACATCAGAACCGAGGTGGAGAGGAGACGGAGGGCATCGGCAGCCACGACGTTGGTTTCTTCAACAACAACGGACTGAGCCTGTGTATAGCGAGCGCTGTATCTTTATTGTTGGGTTTGGTTGAATGATTTCTGAAGCATAGCACCTGGCCGGCGTTATGGGGTTCTCACTGTCAATATTTGGGCATCAACGGTTATATATGATGAGAATGGGTTTATGAGCAATACCTCATGTCAGTATTAATTATCAATGTCGAATTATTTGGAACCACTCCGCGGCCAACAACCGGAAAACAACGGTGACCGTTGACTGAACCGAGGGCGTAGCAAGCCGCAACCCTGGCCTATGTAACCCTGGGCTGCCTGTCGGAATCTCAGCCGGGTAGAGCTCATCGGCGTTGGTGCCGCATGGTGCGGGGATAGAAAAGGCCGCCAAGTACAAACAAGCCGGACTTGTCAATCACCTCATCGGCGCGACAGCCTGTCATGGCCAAGAAGGCTATGAATGAGCCCCATTAGACCCTCTTGTCAATTCCCCCATAGCAAAAGACTAGCCTTGCTACTTATACTTGAATAAGTGATGGGGTCACTACAAGTTGTGTCGAGTGAAGAAGCTTCAAGCAAAAATGATGCAATCGCCTGTCCCCGCCGGTTATCGGTCGGTTGAAACCCCGCAGTGTGGGGCCCATCCATTCCGTGCGCCGTGCCGTCCACTTGTGCTCTCCCCTCGTCTTATCCGTCCCTCCTTTGCCTCTGTAGTCGGAAACGTGTCGAGACCTTTTTTCTGTACCGGAACAGCTTCCCCTACTAATCCTTCCCTTTCATTGGATAATAGCAACTGTACGAGCAAAAGCAACCTTCTCCTGACTTCTGCAGAATCCCAGATAGAGTCAGGTATATAAGCAACTAATTCATCCCCGAACCGACC